TTTTTTTTTTTTTTCATCATAGTCTGAAACCACTGGAGAGAGATGAGATATATACGTATATACATATGTACTTCCTAGGCCTAAGTTTGTACTATGCAACAAAATTGACCTCAGAGAAGTACAAGACGCGTATGGATGCGCCCATTTTAAATAATCAACATAGTTTACAAACGAACTGAAAGCCTAACGAAAACGATTCTCCTCCGATAAATTATAGTCTAATCGCGTTATCGTTGTTAATATCGTAATTATTTACGAATACGTAAGCAGCAACACAAAATGCAAAGAAAATATTATTGTGTAACGTTCGTTCAGACACGCTCTCAAAAACTATCCAGCGCATGATAAGACGTATGATATATACATCGTACGGATCCTCTGACATATTATTGAATAATAGAGTTCCCGATTTGTTGCGTTCTTTTCTCACACTTTTCCACATTTTTTTCACCACACCGCTAAAGAGACAGAGAGACATGAAGGAAAACAAACGAATCAAATTCTGTGTAATTAATGAGAAAGTCTGACTTATATGAAAGATAATGGGGAAGAAAAACTAAAAAAAAAAAAAAAAAAAAAAAAAGAAAACAACCAACTGAATATGTGAACATTTCCGACCAAAGTTTATCATATCATATATACTAATAATTTTGAGAATTCCAGAGCTTAGATCTATTTATTGTTAATTTAAGAGAGTTCGATTAAGGAACCTGCCGTACTTATAAATATTTTAGATTCGTGCGTGTATTACAGCGATTTAAATGTTTCTGATCCATTGGCTGCGAGAATACCGATGATGTAACAAACGTTGCCTGGCGAAAAGAAAGAATTAAAATTAAATGTTGATCATCGTTACGTATGTTATAAGTAAATATAAACATATGTTGTATATGATTACATGAAACGTAATAGTTGGTGTTGAAGAAAAGGTTTGTTGGGAAGAAACGCTTAACTAACTATGAGCGTGGTCCGAATTGTACGCTTACCTTATACTTAACAGTATTTCTATTATATTCCACGTATATATATATATATATATATATATACCGCATATGGCACGTGGTATTTATATTAAAAGAAAAAAAAAGACGTATTTATATATATACATACCTATATGTATATATACACACACATATATATAATATATATTATATATTATATATATTATATTATATATATGTATATATATATGTATATGTATATATATATATGTATATATATATGTATATGTGTATATATATATATTATATATATATGTATATGTATATGTATGTATATATATGTATATATAATATACATATGAAGATGTTCTTATATGTACAATCATCTTGGGTGTCTAATACAGTACACGCTTTTAACATTCTGAACATACTTATGATAACTGTGACGATATTTAAAGACTACACGAATTCCGCATTTCCTATAAATGACGAAGCAAACTCTCTGTAAACGCCAGATTTTTATCGTATTTCTACCATAAATTCTCATACACTGATTTCAAAAATTATCTCACGCGTCGATTACTTCAGCTACTTCTTACAATTCATAAATAGACACCCTGTTGTCGGACCTGAATTTGCCTTGCACAATAATGGTGCAACTAAACGAAAACGTTCGCATCTGTTACGATTCTCAGTGGTTGAAACTTCGCTTAACGACGGTCGTCTGATTCTGATTTGTCGTACAAATAATTAAAGAAAGAAATGAAGTTTACGGTAGTGTGAAACGATCGACAAGCAAGGCAGAGAAACAGTTTCCACAACTGGTTTTCTAAACATTTCGAGAATGTCTCTTGTCTTATTAACGTCGTAAAGAATGTACAATGTATCCTAAATGTGAAGTGTAATCGATATTTTCTTGTAATGTAATCTCATGATTCGATTTAAAATAAAGAATTACTTATTTCTGTCAGAATCGCATATTTTTCACTTCGTCTACATATCAGAAAGAAAGGATAGGATGTGATAAAAGAGTATTATAGAAATTTGTTCGAACAAGGTACATTTTAATAGCTTTTATTTACATTTTGGTTTGGATCTCAGAACTGTTGCATATTATTAAACATATATTATTGTTACAAAGGTTGTTTCATCTCTATAATGAATAATACAAAAGGTTCCAAATTTCTTTATTTATACACACTATGAGATCAAACTATAATACACTTTCTACATTTGTTCAAATTATCCAAAGTAATTTTTAATATGTTAATTTTTAAATTTGGTATTAAAATGCAGGATTTATATTTTTTGTCAAATTCTCTGTAGAAAGATCGACAAAATCTTTAGCACCCTTACGTCGTATTGACAACGCTATATTTGCGTTATTTTTATTCCATTTGACTTTTAATAATACACAACATCCTTTTTCTTAAAAAAACAATATTTCATTAAAATTCGAAAGAAATTTTTTCTTTTTACGTGTTAATAATAATTAACATACCTAATTGGCCTTTTTCGTGAGCAGCAGCTAATTGATTAACAACGCGTCTTTCAATCTCGTATTTAATAGAACGTGCTCCGTAATGGGTATCGTATCCTTCAGCCAAAAGTGACAGAACTTCTCTATTCCACTTCAATTCTATTTTATGCCTTTTTTTCGCACGATCTGCCCAAGCTTCTAATTCTCTTGCCACTAATGTTATAAGTTCAGATTGAGAAAATGGTAAAAAATATACGATTTCATTTATTCTGCCCAAAAACTCATCTCTACCAAAATGTGACTTCAATATTGGTCTCACCTATAAAGAGAAGATTTTTAAAACAAAATTTTGTCCTCAAAATATTAAGAAGATATTTTACTGAAATTAATACATACTACTTCATCTTTAAAATTACGAGATATTTCAATATGTTCTGGATCCTCCTCTACATCAACATTTTTATCCAATTTTTGATCTATTACACGTTGAGCTTCTTCTCTAAGATGTACCGCATGATCAGCGATTACTTCGCTTGCCAAATTCGATGTCATTATAAAAATTGCATTTTTGCATTCGATTGTTTTACCTTTACCATCGGTAAGTCTTCCCTAAAGAGATTCAAATTTTCATTTTGATACAATACTTTGATATCATATATTATGAAGTATATAATACATATAGTACATATAATATGAAGTAATCATACTTCATCAAATAATTGTAACAGAACAGTCAGTACATCAGGATGAGCTTTGTCAACCTCATCAAATAATACCACAGCATTTGGACATTTCCTTAAAAGTTTTGTTAATTGTCCACCATCATCATGACCCACATATCTAATTAAAGTAATTAAAAAAAAAATCTAAATATTTATAACATGTGAAACATATACGTAACTTGATATAAATAAAAAATTCCTGATAAATAAAGATTACCCTGGTGGAGCACCAATCAATTTGGCAACTTCGTGTTTCTCCTGATACTCAGACATGTCTAATCGAATAAATCCTTCCTGTTTATTTTTATGTATATATGCAGCTAATTGTTTAGCCAATTCAGTTTTTCCAATTCCTGATGAACCTAAGAAAAGAAATACTAGGGGATGTTTTTCATCTATCCACCCATTGTCTTTTCTCCTAATAGCTGAAATTAGACAGAGCATTACAAAAAATATTACACGCGTTTATATAGATATATTATATAGATGATTGGTTGTATAAAGTGAATCTTACTAGATGCAACAATAGATATTGCTCCAGTTTGTCCAACAATATACTGTTTCAAACGTTGCTCTAGTGGAAATCTACGGCGTTCTTCTAATTCCTGTTTACAATATTAGGTAAAATACAATATCAGGTAAAAAAATGGATCAAAAATAGCACAATGTAAAAATCAAAGCTTGGTTTTAATCATATGTACTTTTTCCTTCATTATTTCATCATATTTTATCGCACGTTTTATGAGCATTTCTTTGAGCGCTCCATCTTTAGCATATTCTACTGCACGATGTCCTGATTCGTTTTTCATTGTTGGATCAGCTCCTGCTTCTAATAATGCAAGCACACAAGCCTCGGAATCTGCCAATACAGCATAATGTAACGCTGTACAACCTTTAAAGGTAGCTCTACTGTTCAGTTGATCACAAAATTCTTCCTCCCTTATTGCAAGCACTGCAAAATTGAGAATTTACACAATAGCTTAGAAAATATAAAAATCCATTTTTACTTAACTACTATAATTTGTTTTAGTTTCGTACCATCTAATGTATGTAATCCCTTTTCTATGGCAGTCCCATAAACATTAATGAATTCATCTGGAGCATTAACATCTGCTCCATGTTTTAATAAAAGTTTTACAACTTCTGGTTTTGCATTAATAGCAGCAAGATGCAATGCTGTCCAACCCAGTGGATGTCGCATATTTATATCTATACCTTCTTTTATAATCTACAAACAGACACATTTCTTAGTCGTTGACACTATAGTGGAATATTTTTTTATACTCACATTTGTTAATTCTAGAATGTTGCCATATTTTGCAGCCCGGAAAAACTGCTTATCTGATAAAATAAAATTATTAATCAAAAATTAATATTTATATGTTTATATGTAATTAATGATATAAGTAATACATACCCTTGTGATTTTTGGCTTCGCAAAGAACTATGGTTATGCCAATACCACCTAATACAAATCCCAAGTTCTTGAAATTCTTTTTTTCATGATTGACATCATACTTAGTTCGCAGAATTTTCATTCTTGTCAATAAAGGGCGAATTTCCTTTAATCTAATTATATCTAAACATTTGTACAACGGATAAATATGTTTCTCAAACTTCCAATAGAGATGGGCATAACCTTTACCGCTTTCATAGAACACATTTTGTGTTTCGTTTGTTGTGCGTAAACTCTTTTTGCTTATCAAAGTTGTCGTATGTTTAGTCTTTTTTATAATGGAACAAAATCTTAAATTACACAGACGCGACATTTTATATACGTGTATGATCTCATGTACTTGTGCTTTTGAACCATATGATGTTTATCTTGCACTATTATATCGACTACCTACTTATTACCAATATATCAATATATAAATTCATTGAATAACTGCCAATAATTCATACAATAATGCAGCAACACAATTCGCATTATATGTATGTTTTTAATCGCTTTATTTGAACATCGCATCAAATCACGTTCTTGTGTACAAACGCAACATGTCATGTAACATTTTGTGAAATTGCGTTGATGCAGAGCATATAAATACATACGCACGTATACATATTTTAAGAATCAACTCTTTTCTTTCGATTACGTTCATACAGTCGATATAAACAATTTTATGGATTTTGTATATATTTTATATACATGCGTACAAAATATAATACGTATAATGTTTGTAATTATTTATTGTAACTCTAAGTAAATATTACGTCGTGTAATATTTGTGTATGATATTTTTGATAATCTTACGACAATCAGAGAATCGTAAATAGCGTAAGTACTCGTAAAATGACTCTTGCTTAATATTTGCAATTATAGTAATTCGAAATTTGTTTCATGACAGACATATTGCCGTGCAAACCAATCATATGGATGCGCAAAGTATACTATATATAAATTCAAAATCCTTGAGAGATACTACGCGGACAAAAAGGAAAATTAATTGGGAAGTTTCTTGCGATTAATCATCGCGAATCTGAACCTGGTAATTCCATTCTGGCAAAATATGTTGTTACATCGATCCGTTAGTTTCGATTCTTCGAGAAACGAAGCAAAACGAAACAACAACCTCCGAAAGGAAGATTCCAATGGCGCATAGTTCCAGAATGTTCCAGAGCAATCGACTGACCAATAGGAATTTTGCACCGCAGCGCCATGATTGGTGAATTCTCAGCAGAAGTTAGCAGAAAGAAATAATCAGAGTTACCGTGCGGAGGGCATTTCGTTCAGTCTATTGCGTGAGTGAGGAGCAAGGATTCATTGTAGTTGTGGGCCTATCATATACAATAATCATCAACGCGTATTCTAAACGACTTATCAATCACTCGTCCATTCTTATTGAGGATTAACGTTCAATCAGCAATTTACGCGCGATAATTTGTGTCGTGAAGAAAACGTCGTACTCAGTCTATCAGTCATGGCTGCTATGTCCGTAATCGGAATTGACTTTGGTAACGAAAGTTGTTATGTAGCTGTAGCACGCGCTGGAGGCATTGAAACTATAGCTAATGATTATAGTCTTCGAAATACACCGTAAGTTTCTCTTATTGTAACAATCGTTTCCTAATTTTTTCACTTTTACAGAAAGATACCGGGTGCTCACCCGGTGTCCTCTTGCTTCAAGTGTTCCTTTTGTTTCATTTCGATTCTTTCGAAAATCTTAGTAAAGAATTGTAGAACAGTTTCAAAACATCGATGCATAATTCATTTTTGTACTTGAATAGTAGACTGGAGATGACGATGTATCATTCGATCATTGCCATTTATGTCCAAATCATTTCGTCTATTTGAATGTACCTGCTCACTTTCACATGACTAAGAAGTACAAAAAAGTCCATAGCGTGGGTTATGATCCGCGAGCTATTTTTTTTTCTTTTTTGATTTGAAATTGGTATAGTCATGTGAATCTACAATCCATTTACGTCAGAATTAATGTAATGAATAAATACGTAATGTTATTACTATACTCGTTATGCTTTGTGTACAAAAATTATAGGAAATATTTGTTTTTATTATATTACGAATTCGTATGTATTATTCATTTGTAAATTGATCGTGTTTCACAATCATATTGTTATATAAATGAATTATCACGATGTTTATAAATTTTTTTCGTTGTAGTAAAATGTATAGTATATATAAAATATTCGT